CAGTGAGAGTATCACCATGCTTCATGCAACTCCTGATGTTTTGCACTATAGGCAAAATAAAGGCAGGTTCATACCTTTCTCTTCTGATCCAGATGCCAAACAATAGCATCTTCTCAACCACTTCAGCTTTCTCCTTCCCCTGAAAACTGTGGTTTATCTTGCACCAAAAGGCTGTTGAGGGATAATAACTTCCACCCTATCTCTGTTCCATTACCTCAACATGGAAAAGCCATTTCAGGATGGTGATTTCATTATACATCATTGATGTGGGATAAATTATTAAAGCAAATTCATAAAAAATGAAAGACATTTTAAACAAAGAAGGCATCCTAACAGTAACCCAGAAATGTCACAAAACCTGATTTCCACCAAATAGGAAAACCTGCCCCTCATCAGAGCAAAGAGGGTAAACTATGAAAGATACATGAGGGTAGAAGGAGAAATGAAGTGACTGGAATGACAGAGTGGGAGATAAACACATCAAGGTAAAGGAAACAAAAGAGAAAAGACCATGAAGGAAAGGGGGAGTGAATAAAGGTTAAATAATTCAGGTGAGGATTGTTAAGAGCCTTGAAGAAACATGGGAAATTAAGTCATCTAGGAATCACTGGAGGAGGGCAAGGGGAAACAACTAAACCGACACGCTTTTCACAGCATTAAAAAGAATTGTTGGATTTTCTCTGCCATTAGAACAGACCTTGGCTGGTATAAATCCACAAGGAGTCAACTGAGTTGAGGGTATTTACACACTTCTGAGGCAGTGGCCCATAAATCAGAAAGGCAAATCCAGTGGATGCAATTCCAGCTGTTGTGACCACTTTACACCACAGATGTTGTTGGCCTCAAATCTTAATTGAGTTCCCTTTTGGTTCTGCCCTGGTATTTGATGGATCAGTCTGGGGGCTCTACCCAGCCACTGAGCTCCTTCACTCACTGACTTATTAAATGGAAATAATCCATCAGATAAGGAGTTTTGCAGCATTAAGCCATGTTAATGCTGCCAGTGCTGCTGGTGGGCAAAGCATCTCTTATGGACTTTACTTGTTTCCTCATCCTTGGGCATGCTTTTCCCTGAAAACCAGTGAAAATCTTCAAATCTGTGAAGCCTGGGACATACAAAGAGTGAAATCCAGTCTTAAACACCCTCCTGAATATTTTCCACTTATTTTCCAGTACTGCTGTTCCTCTTCCCTGGGGAATACATCCTTCCTGGACTAGTTTTATTACCCAGCTCCTGGAGGGGAGAACAGAAAATTCTGCCTCCTGCCTCTTATCTCTTTGTATTGCATTTAGTTTCTGTCCAGGAAATATTATTCCTTTTCTTTCCTTGCTCTAATTTCTGGTCTCCTGCGTTGCTCCTATTTTAGCCTTGGCTTTGGTTCCGTGGAGGATTTTCTCCTCTCCCTCAGCCTTACCACAGCTGATACAAAGCACAGCCAAAGTTATAAGGATGTTCCAAGTAAGCTACAGATAAAAGCAGTCATGCAAAATTCAGCTGCATTGAATTAGTCTTGCTGGTGGGAGGATAATTCCTATTAATCACATCTATTACAGTAATACCTCAGGATAAGCAAGAAGATGGGCAGAGCAGTGAATAGCACAAAATGAGGGGAATTCCCAGACACAAATACAGAGCTGAATCTGCCAGGATACAGAAATCGTTAATTTTTGTTAATAAACAATAAATATTCCAGCTCTTGGCAACATAAAAATTTTGGAGTGAGAAGGGGGAGATGCTAAATTAAATCTGAACATCATAAAACATTTCTTCCTCATATCTAGTCTAAGTCTCCCCTTCTTTTAGTTTAAAACCATTATCATGCTGAGAAGATTGTCCACATCTTTCTTCTAGGCCCCCTGGAAGTCCTGTCAGGCCCCCAGAAGGTCTCCCCAGCTGGAGCCTTCTCCTCTGCAGGCTGCCCAAGCCCAACTCTCTCCTGCTGGGCTCCCAGCAGAGGGGTTCCCCCCTCGGGGCATTGCTGGGGCTCCTCTGGCCCCGCTCCAGCAGGTCCCTGTCTCTGCTGTGCTGAGGACTCCAGAGTGGTTGGACTTGAGGATCTTAAAGGTCTTTTCAAACCTACGTGTTTGTATGATTTCTATATGAAATGAAATTGGAATTACTTTTGGTTTGGTCAGTCTGGATTATCACACTCAGTCTGGTGGAAAAATGTGGGTTATTTATGAGTTATATGAATGTTTTTTAAAATGGGCATCATCTGCCTTGATTTGGGTCGGTGTTAAAATTGACTCTGCTGTTTCAGAACCTTCCTTTGTGAAATTTCACCTTCCTACTTCAAACACATTTCCCCACAGTTTCTACTGGTGAAATGAAACTTGGTGGCCCCTTGTTCCTGCTTTCACCTTTTGCTGAGCTGCTTCAGGGAGCCGAGGTGACAGAAGTGGTGTCTGTATTTTGGTGAATGTTAGGGTTGGCTTTTCTGTCCCTCCAAGCCAGCTCCCTGGAGATCAGATACTGATAGGAGAACAACCTTTTTTCCTCATGTTTTCCACCATGGATGTTGGAGTTATTACAAATATTTGCATATATTTAAGATCCTGGATGCAATTCTGTGCATTCTGCTTTAGGAGACACTACTTTGGCCAGAGGATTGGATGAGATAATCTCCAGAGGTCCCTTCCAACCCCTACCATTCTGTGATGTTGTGATCCTTGGCCAGCTGGATTTGTGGTGCATTTTTTCCTCTGGTGCTTCTGATTCAGGGACAAGTGATGGGCTCTAAGACATCAGAGAGCAGCAGCCAGATGCCTGCCAGGTCCTGCTTCCCTGGGACAACAGCAGCTCAAGGGATCTAGAGAATAACATTCTGCAGGCCACTGATGTCTGACACTGGAGCTTTGGACTGGGTTTGTTCCTAATAATTGTGCAGTCGTGGTAATTATACACAAAAAAAGTTAATTACTTAATCATGTGTAACAAGGACCCTTCAGTTACTGAGAGAGGCACACGCTCGCTGCAATTATTCACAGGCATGTAATCTGCTTCCCTTTGTACTGAATATTTCATTAGTTACTATTCACATCTTCTCAGAGGTGCTTTGCAATGGTTCAGTGATTGGATTTACTCTAATTTCTTCTTGGCTTGTATAAATGCTGCCATGACAAATATTCCTCTGTATTTTATCTCTTTAACAAGGTTTGTTTCAACCTTCCTGTTTCCAGAGAGAACTCACCATAATGTGAATGTAGAAACAGCACAGTTTGGGTTGAAAGGGACATTTAAAGGTCATCTAGTCCAACTCCCCTGGACTGAGCAGGGACATCTGCAACTAGAGCAGGTTGCTCAGAGCCCCGGCCAACCTCCCCTGGAATGGTTCCAGGGATGGGGCAGCAACCACCTCTCAGGGCAACCTGGGACAGGGGCTCACCATCTTCATCATAAAAAATTTCTTCCTTATATCTAGTCTAAGTCTCCCCTCTTTTAGTTTAAAACCGCTGTCATGCTGAGAAGATTGTCCACATCTTTCTTCTAGGCCCCCTGGAAGTCCTGTCAGGCCCCCAGAAGGTCTCTACAGCTGGAGCCTTCTCCTCTGCAGGCTGCCCAAGCCCAACTCTCTCCTGCTGGGCTCCCAGCAGAGGGGTTCCCCCCTCGGGTCAC